TCCAGGCCGTGCTGCTGCCCAAGAAGACCGACAGCCACAAGGCCAAAGCCAAGTAAGCGCCAAAGAACAACGCCCAGGAAAATTTAAGCAACAGAAACCCAAAGGCTCTTTTCAGAGCCACCTACAGCATCACTAGAGAGCTAAATTGCTTTTAAGCGATTTTGAAAAATATTTACCTAATGTCAGTAGTGCTTTCTGAATGGTTTTATATCAATGACTGATTTGGTAAATGCTGTAACAGCATTTACAAGCTCTTTCGTTAATGATGGTGTGAATTTAATAAATCCATCTGTTCCACTTAAAGAAAGCCCTCCATCCCCTTTACCGTAGCCTAGCACAGTGCGGAAAAGAAAGTGTTAAGCACCGGTCATACGGCCACGGTAGATCCTTAAGTAGCTGAGTACTTAAGCTGCCCTGAAGCTATCCACAATCCACAGGATTGAACGTTTTGTCGGAAGGTAACGATTAACGCAGCATCTCAGGGTGCAATCATGGCCATGTGCTTTATGAGATTTCATGCGTGACACAGTATACCAAAAGTATTTGAAAACAAATCTTATTTCAGCACTTTTCGAGAAAATTTGGGTGGCTCTTAAAAGAGCCGTTGGGTTTTAGGTGCGGTAGACGACTTTTCTTCCACAGGGGCCTTATTTCTTCTTGGGGGCTGCCTTCTTCGCCTTTGCTGTTTTCGGCTTGGCTGCCTTCGGCTTTGGTGCTTTCGCCTTCACTGCCTTCACCTTCACTGGGCTCTTCGCCGCTGCCACTACTTTTTTAGGTTTGGCAGCCTTTGTCGCCTTTTTAGGGCTTTTGGCTGCTTTCTTGGCCGCCGGCTTCTTGGCTTTCTTGGGGCTCTTCTTCGCTGTCACTGCCTTCTTGGGCTTCTTGGCGGCGCCAACGGGCTTCTTAGCTGCCGGCTTCTTGGGCTTGGCTGCAGTTTTCTTCCTGGGAACCTTTTCTTTCACTTCTCCAGGTTTCTTACTGAGGCGAAAGGAGCCGGAAGCACCGGTGCCCTTGGTCTGCACCAGGGTGCCTTTGCTGACGAGGCTCTT